TGAGCTACATAATTTTGGTCAACCATGTTTTATGCCTATCTAAGAAGCATGGACATGGATGCCACCACGCCATAGACACTCCATGCCTTAGAAATGACGCTCCAACATGTAATGATTCAAAAAAGTATGATAATGACGCAGTAGGACACGGTCGATTTAAATTCTACAAAACTATACAATTATGGATTATATCTATATTTTTTTAACAAACTATTTTATTGAGTGAAGCTATATTACCATTGCAAGAGAGAGAAAATGCATATAGTAGATATAAAACAAGTTCAACATGAAGTTCATGGATATTTCTCACCTCATTTTGTCTTTTTAACACAAATGTTTGTGTCAGTGGTTAATGTGTTGATAATGCTAGACAATACGTAGAGAAAATCGAAAATCAATTTGAAAAGGAAAGAAATAAGATAAACATTATTTCCTATTAGGAAACATGTGTTTTAACTCTATCATTTTTAGTTGTCTTTATCTTTTTATAGTATAGTTGTGATAGGACATATATCTTTTATTTAATTAGGACTATAGTTTCTTTATTGATTAGAATAGGAGTTTTAATTAGATTAAATTTTATTACTTTTCTTATTTTAGACTTCTCATATTAGTAAAGATTAGGGGATAATCTTGCAGAGGCTTTGTACACTTTTTCGAAATTCAAATTTTCATTATTTGATTCTTGATTAATAAAATATTTTACTTTTCCCATTTATTGGTGGATTCCTAATAATTATCACGTTCGTTTGAGTGAAATTCAAGTAAACACTCATTCGTGTCTTAAAGACTAACACTTTTATTATTATCCACGTTCCCGTCCTGTGTCAAGTGGTATCAAAGCAGCTTTCTCTTTTGTATATCTTTAATTCAAAGACATGAGTGGCATGCTAGCTACTAGTGCATATCTGGATGCAACAAATTGACGGTTTGACAATCTTACTATTCAGATTGAAGAGATTCATCAACTGTTTCTACGGGGGTTAGAAACAATGGACAGAAAGAACAATAGACAATAAAAAATAAGCGGATTACTGAGCCTGTAGTTCGAAGAGAAAATAACAGAAGACTTGTAGTTGAAGAGAGCAAATCGGATGTCAGAGATAAGGAAAAGAAAGATGAGGAATACATGGATGAAATTTGTGAAGAAGAACAAGGAGATTTCATATATAATGTGGAAAAAGTCTTGTGCTCCTCCAAGTAAGAAGATTTAACTCATTGTGAAAAGATCTTTCTGGTCAATAATGTTGTTTGCAGTTAGACCATAGATAGTTGCAATTATAAGAATTTGGTCACGAAGAAGATGTTGCATCATTTGAATCTACCAAATGAACCACATTCAGATTTGTATCTAATTGAATGGATTGAGAAGAGTTCGTATATTTAGTTGTCTCAAATTTGTGAGGTACCTTTATCAATTAAGACTTGTCACAAATCAAAAATTATTTGTGATCTTGTTCAGTTGGATGAGTGTCATATACTACTGGACAGATCGTGGCAAATAAATGTGTGTGACATACATAAGGGTAGAGAGAATATCTACAAGTTTAAGCGGAAAGATAAAAAGATTACAATAGGGAGGATACATAAAACTCCTAGAGTGGAAGGAAAAGATTTTCTAACCATTACAAATTCAAACAATGAGTTTTCCTTCGATAAGTCTTTGTATCCTGATGACAACTCAGGGTTGAGTTGTTTTGAAGTGGAAGGGAATAACGTGGGATAACACCGAGAGAAAATCCAAATCAATTTAGAAAGGAAAGAAATAAGATAAATATTATTTCCTAATATGAAACATATGTTTTAACTCTATCTTTTCTAGTTTAGCTTTTATAGGTATAGTTGTGATAGGACTTTTATCTTTTATTTAATCAGGACTATAGTTTCTTTATTGATCAGAATAGGAGTTTTAATTGGATTAGATTTTATTAGTTTCCTTATATTAGTAAGATTAGGGGATAATCTTGCCTATAAGTATAGAGGCTTTGTACACTTTTTCAAAATTCAAATGTTCATTATTCGATTATTGATTAATGAAATATTTTACTTTTCCTGTTTATTGATGGATTCCAAATAACTATCATGTTCATTCGAGCGAAATTCGAGCAAACGCCCGTTTATTTGTTACAGACTAGACACTTTTATTATTATTATCCACGTTTCCGTCCCGCATCAGTTGGACACAGACATAGCAACCCGGTAAGAATATATGTGCTCCATAGATGATTAGGAATACATGCCTGTGTAGTAATACTTCACTGACCAACAACTTCTACCTAATATATCTCTTAACCTAGGATGTTTACCAAAAACATCTATTATCTAATGTGGTAGCAGATTGCTTCATTTTCTTGTAATTTGGTTCAAAAAAGTTAAAGTAAACCTACCTCCTTAGGGTTTATTATATTTACAATTTCATAGGTCCTGTAACTAGACATAGCACTAGATTGAACAAACTAACAAGAAATGATTTATGTAGCTGATCCCAAATTTTTCGGGACTATGACTTTGCCATATGTTGTAGTTCTTTGGAGTCATTCTAAGGAATTCTCCAACCGGGATGGAAGTAGTATTTTATGTCTATCCTGAGAAATTACGAACAACTTCGTCATAATCTGCTCAACTTTTGCCTGAGTTCTTTTCTGTTTGTCATCTTTGAAAGGCCGCATGCACTCTCTAGTGCTAATATCTTAGCTAATGGGCATATTTGATTATGATCAGGTTATTGAATTCATTGACACAAGCACTTCAGAACTCAGGTGTGGATCTATCGCAAGCCAGCATATCGCTGCAAATCAATCTTGGGAAACGAGCGAATCCTGATCCAACATCTGGCATATCAATCACTAAGGTACAGAACATTTTGTTAATAGTTTAGCAATACATTATGCTTGTAGATGATCTGAGCTCCAATATCACGATAGTTCTATATGCCTTGAAGAAAGAAGCAAATTTTTATTTTTTTATTATACCGTCCAGTTCTCTTTAATATTGTTGAAGGATTGCAATTGTCGCTGTTTCATTGTTTCTTTTGCATTAAATCTTTCACTACTGTATAGGATCACGGAACTTCTACCCCTACACCTGGGCTTTTTCAAGATGTGAGCAACAGCGAAGACTTGGATCAGGCTCGCAAAAGGTTGAAGATTTGAGCACTGTATGTTTGTCTCATGGGCAGCGATTTTAACTCAGTTTTGTATCATCTATCATCTTTTGGTTTTGGTAGTATTCAGTTTGTTGGTATTTAAACCTTGCCTGTGTATTTTTTAATGGGCAATTCCTTCCCTGACCTCTGGTGGGATATATGGAATCATCGTAATGGCTGTTGTTTGATGATTACATGAAAATCGTGTTTGTTTCATAGTAATGGACATAACCGTAAATATAATGGTCAAGATTTTGAGTTATTTTTTCTTCTTAAGTTTAACCATAGATGGTTTGGCATACATAACTCAGAAAACCAATTAAAAATGGAAAACATGATTGTGTAAAGAAAGATTCTTACTAATCTAATTATCTTGTGCAGCAGTGTAAATCTAGGATTCATAATCAATGTTCAATATGAACAAAATAATCTACTTAAGCCACGTTTGATAAGATTAATGAACGATTTATAATTAGGAACATTAAAAGGAGTAAATAACTTTTCCTAGAATTAAATTTGGGCTCTGTTATTAGCAATTTGAGTATAAGTAGCTTTTCCTAGAATTAATTCTGAGGCAATTAATTTGAAATTTGGAGTTATGGTGATTAAAATGATGGTTTTGAGTGATACACTGTACCCTGCTCAATATGTATTCCTATTTCATTTCCTATGCGGAATGATATTATTTGATGATTAAATGAAATTTGCATTCTCTCTCTCTCTCTCTCTCTCTCTCTCTCTCTCTCTATATATATATATANTATTAATTAGGAATAATGCAGTATTGGTCCACGTAACACCTTTCTGATGGGATGAGTAAGTTGCTATTCAAACAACGGTGGTCCTAGTGGGTACATAGGGGTGTACCTAAGCGGGTACACCCCTCTCACATGGGGTGTGGAGTCCACCCGAATAAGTGTTTTTTATTCGGGTGGATCTCACACCCCATGTGAGGTGGGTGTATATCCTTAGGTACACCCCATTATGTACCACTAGATTAATTCTTCAAACAATAGGGTGGGAATGGGCCAACAAGTACCAATCTCACAACAGTATTAATGCAAAAGATTTGTTCCTTCACTTGCTAATTATTCTCGAGTTGAACTCACGATTTTAAGAAGTCAAAGTTTGACTCTTCTCAATAATACTTTTACAACATTATTAATGGCAAATCCTACAGTTTTGCTCCTCCTCCCTCACGGAAAACAGGGAATATGATTTTCAGACTCTTTATTTTTTATTAAAAATAAGTTAACAACTGAGAAAATGAGAATATATTAATTTCTCAAAAAATGCACGATGGAGCGGAGATGGGGAGGACTGCCCGCCTTGTTTCCAGCTCGATGTAAATTCGATTGCATCATAATTAGATGCATCATAATATAGAGATGTAATTAGATTGCATCTGTAATGATAGAAACAAATTGATAAATCAATAAAGTCATAAGTATAGGAAAAATTTAACAGAATTTATATTGATATTGATCTCCTATCTGCAAAAAACTTTTCACTGCTCAAATGACAAGTGATTCTTTTGATAAAAACTTCTTACGTCAATTCTCATTTTTACATGATTCAAACGTTCTTAAGAGACTATTAGATTTTTTTATTTTTAATTATGAACAATTGAACAGAAATTACAAGATAGAAAGACATCGAATCCGTACATTTCTTGACATTTAAACAGCCCTTATCGTACGGATACTTTCCTTAAAATCTGTGAATTCGTAATCCACCGGACCAACGAATACCCAGTGACTCCAACCAATCACAATTCGACAACACATTCTTTGAAACCATATGGTTTTCCTTTCATTAGTATGGTGATTTCACATACCATTTTATATCTGTACACGCTTTATCCGACAGCATATTTTGCCAAGTAGACCAGACGTTTTTCACCAAATGGAAACGACAAGAAGAAAGAAATCTACTGCCCTTTACTTTAGCTAATGGAGATAAACCTAGACGTCTCTGTCATTATCTATCTAGGGTTAAGGAAAGTAGCAATTTCAGGGATTTTTTTTTTCCTGTTAATTTTGTGGGATTTGATTTCTACAAAATTAAGGAAAAAAAGTGAGAAAAAATGGGGAGAGGAAAGGTTCAGTTGAAGCGTATAGAGAATAAAATTAATAGGCAGGTGACTTTCTCGAAGAGGAGGACGGGTTTGCTGAAGAAAGCTCATGAACTCTCTGTGATGTGCGATGCAGAAGTAGCTTTGATTATTTTCTCCAACAAAGGAAAGCTCATTGAGTACTCCACTGATTCTTGGTACGTACGTTTTCCATTTTCGACCCGTACACCATTGTCGATGTAGCGAATATCGTTTTCGGTTAATTTCTTTGCGTGTTGAATGATCTCTGTGGAGTTCATTTTTGTTTTCTCATTATGAATTCTTGACTGCTTTATTAATTTTGAACCATAAATAATAATTTTTTTCCCTCCTTTTATAGCTAAGTAAGCTGTAATCTCAGAGTCTTCTGATATATAGTCGTTTGCTATGGTAATATAAGCTGCATAAACAGATGCTTTTATTATTTTTCCTTTTCTATAAGAAACAAAAAAAAAAAAAAATTCATCAGCGGAAATTCTTGGTCATAATTTGTTTCTTTATTTTTATGTGATTGCTGTGGTGCTTAATCAATTTTATCCATGATTAATATACCATCTAATTATCTAAACTATTGTCCTTGAAGATTTTAGATTCTAGGTTGATGATATTACTCATCTTTTATCAAACAGAATAACAAAAATTAATTGATTAATTAAAGGTTGCATTCTTGATCATGATTTTATCCAGCTCTACCATCTGATGATTATTTTCTTTCTAGTTTATTATAACATATACTGAATTCTCCGCTGATATCATTCAGTTATCAAATTATACTTTAGGAGCCCTCAGTTTTCTATAAAGGGTTTTCTAGATTCTTTATGAATTAATTCCTTAATTTTCTCGTCAATATTTCTGACCAAAGTGTTTGATAGATAGTTTACGAATTTTGTGTCTAGTTTCTTCTATTTTATTAATAACCAGAAACTATGAACGGGGAAGTAGCAGCCTTAGGCCATCTCCAACCCAGCACCAAATTTTGTACCATTTTGTACCAAATTTTGCACCAAATCTTGCACCAAATTAAAATTCATCTTCAACCATTACACCAAAAATTACACCAAATGAACAGTATTTAACCATTTTCTTCCCTTTTTTTCTTTTTTATAATTTACTTATTTGAAATACTATTTATTTAATTATTTCATAAATACATAAATTACTAAATAAATAATTATGTTAAATTACGGAAAAGATTAAATTCATTAATAAATATAAAAAACATAGAACAAATAATAAAAATACTACAACAACGAAAATATAAAATCATGCCGTAAGAAAATAGTACAATGCATTTCGAATTTGGATAGACGATATTACGAAATCGCTAAATTTTTGCAATTTAATTCTCAGAATTCATATTTTCATCCCACAAATGGTCGATTAATGTATTTTGAAGTGTAATGTGAGTTTCTTTATCCTTGATTTATTTATGACGAGCAAGGATATGTATGTATCCTTATGTATCCTTTTTTAAAAATAAAATTAGATTATCGGATGTATGTCGCTATTTAATATATTTCGTATTAACTTTAATAAATAATTGTATTCGATGTATTTTAAATTATTTTCGTCTTTTAATTAATTTATTAATTAATATGTCTTACATTTAAAATTTATTTTAAATACAAATAATATTAATATTAATAAAAATAAAAATAATAATTTATTGTATTAAAAAATATATAGCACAAATGACATAAATACCCTCAACAAATTTATTTGAAAAATGTTAAATAAGGGCAAAATGGACATTTTACACTTGCACCATTTTGGTGCAAAATGGTGCAAAGTGAATAGTGTTGCACCATATTAAATGGTGCAAAATTTGGTGTTGGATTGGAGCAACTTTGTACCAAAAAATGGTACAAAATGGTGTCATGGTTGGAGATGCCCTTAGTTCGAGAAGTACGAAGGGGTGAGAGAAAAACTTTCCAAAAGCTATAATGATAGGAGTTCTCATACTACTTATGACATGCTAGGGTTCAGATCGGGTTTTCCTTGAGGTTGAAGAGAAACAAGTGAATAAAGTTTGTTGAAAGTCATGCGATACGTGAAACGCGAAGATAATACTAAGCCCCTGATTGTTGGGGATTAAAATATATTTTTAATTGATTTTGAGAGGAGAAGATAAATTATGTGGTTAAAAAATTATGTAACTTATAAAATATGTGGTTGAAATTAATTTTTGAATTTAATTTAGATTAAAAATGAGGTGGAACACTTTGAAACTTAAAATTAGATTTTTGCTAAACGTTATATAAAAAGTAGTGATATTCAAAGCCTACGACTGTAGTAATTATCATAGGTAGCATAACATTATCAAAAGTTGTTCCTTCTTTAAATTGTTAAAATTATGCTAGGATAATCAATCCAGTTGCTGTCTATGAATAACATTATTTTTGAAGACCTATACACTTTTGATCAAATCATTTTAATAAGAATTATGCTATTTGTACATAAAAATGGTACATAAGGAATTATATAAAATGATGTGGAGGGAAAATATTAGATGAAAGAGTTAACAGTATTTTCAACTAACAAATAATATAATGACATATAACATTATGTAAACCATTATATAAAACTTGATGTACATGTAGCAAGGTCCAATACCCACTTTTTCATCACTCAATTTTATTTATTAACATTACTGATTACAATCACTTCCCAGAAAGAGTCTTAATCCAACTGACACATGAATGAAGGGGTGTGGTTAAGAAGAAAAAGTTATATAAACTAGTTATGGTGAAGTAATTGTGAGGTTTTTTTCTTTTTGAAGTCTACTACAAATGTTAGATTTATATTTTTAATCAATACTAATAGATGTATATTGCTTACATTAATTGTTTATGAAAAGATGAAATTTTCTCTCACACATACATCTTCATTCACTTTTTATGATGCTTGACATGTGTATAATTTTTTTAAAATGCAAATCTATACTTGCTACAGTGTTATTTTGAACTAGCTCATATAAAAGTTTAAACATTTAAGAAGGAAATGCATTGAGGATCCGTTTGATCTTAAGAATGAAATCTGGGGGAAAATAAAACAAATTTTAGAGAATTGAATTGCCTAGAACTTGTTTTACTGGAAATTGTCAATTAAATGTGTTTGATTAATATAATTTTTCACTTGAAAACTGTTGAAATTTTAGATCTTTTGATGTTCATTTGACTTTATTTTCCATAAAAATTATCAATTAGAGGGATAAAATTTGCAATATTTGTGGATAAAATTTGTTTCCATTGCCCAAAAAATTAATAACAAAAAAAGAAAAGAAAAGGAAGAAGAAGAAGATGTTGGAAGACACTTTCTTACCAAAACCAAGAATTTGGGTTGACACGTTAGGGTAGGGTGGAAAATGAATTCCATGAAAATTTTTGCTTATCAAACAACACATTTTGGTGGAAATTTTCAATGGAATTGACTTGTATCAAACAAGCCCTTGGTCTTAAAAAATCCCCACCCCACCATTCATCAAGGACTTGGAAAAAGATATGAAAATGTCTAGCACTAATTTAAATCTTAAATTTTTAAATTTGAATCGATTATCAAGTGTTTCACCATACAATGCAACAAACTCACATATATTGTTGACATAATTCTGATTTTCGTACCTTTAAATTATAGTCCAAATATGATTAGTTGATCTCTAGTGTTAGAAATATATCAGCTCTATACCATTATCTTTATGTTGGCAAATACTTACGTCCACCACGGTCGCGATCAATCCGTCTCGGCAACGGTCGTGAAACAGCGCGAAAACTAAGTCCGTGACAAAATGCTTTTATTTATTAACATTTTATCTATATTGCACATTTTTATCTGTTCCTCTTTATATTCTTTCAGTTTGGATAAATTGCAAATTTCGTCCCAAGCTTTGGCAAAATAGCGATCTCGACCCAACTAACTTTCCGTCTGGTTTTTGTCCTCGGTGTTTGAAATAACAACAGATTTAGGCCTCTTCACATTTTTCCATCTGTTTTTACTTAATGAAGGGTAAAATAGTCCGGCCATTCAATTCCAAGAATGGCCAAAGAGTGTCCGAATTGGGAAGCATCATTTTCACAGTACTATACATTAGAATAATGATATTGCAGTAATTCACTATCACAGTCGCATACATGTAATAGTTAGTGATTTGATGTATGAGATAATAAAAAACTACCACATTAATTTATTAGGGGCTTGTTCGGTAGTGATTATAAGAATTGATTTTTTGACCGTAAGAGGAAAAATGGGTTCCATTTGTGAGTGAAGAAGTAAAAAATGACAGCTGAAAGAGTGAAATAACAGTAAAAAAATTGATTTTTTGGGATGAAAAATTGCTATCAAATGAGAGTTAAATCATAAACTGCCATTTAGGATGTCACGTAGGGCGACTACTGTAGTGAGCGACTATAAATAGTATTACTCTACACATTAATAGAGGTCGACAACTAAGATATTATAAAATTTCAAATTATAAAATCATACCGTGTTACTGTTGCCGTATCCTATTACAAAATAAGATACCAATGGCACCTAAGGGTGTAAATTGTCCGATTTTATCGATTTTTGACAGATTTTCAAATCAAATTGTTCAAATCAATTTGAGAAAAATTCAAACCCAAACCAAACTATTTTAAACGATTAAAAAAAAAAAAAACTCAAATCTAAACCTAACGATTTGGTTCGATTTAAATCATCGGTTTCACCGTATATTTTTTTGCTTGTTTACTTTTACACTTTTAATTCAATAAATTCAATATATATTTATATCTTACTAGCAATAAATCTAAAACAAACTAAATATATCTACTATAAATTTAAATACCAATTAAATCAAAATAAATTCATAATAAAGTAAAACATAATTTTTTGTTCATTATTTTTAGGCTAATGACGTTACGATAACGTTACAATAAAAGTCTACTAAACTAAACACAAGACAAAAAACATTAATGATGTCCAACAAGTCATTATCATCATATCTGCAAGAAAAAAAATGTTACTGATTAGACAGAGAGAATAATCAACCACAATAATAAAACAATTGTTTGTAATATCCAAACATAACAATTATACAAGTTTACGGTTATATGTTGTTACGAACTCAATTTTTTGCCTATACTCAAACATCAGTTGATATCACATATGATTCATCGTCTGCATAGTCAAACAAATGCATTCATTACATAATCATAGTACTAGATACTAGATAGATAAGAGAATCTTCGAAAATATGGTAATAGAAAATATAAATCACATGCCACAACATTTATTGAATCATCCAATGCCTCCACTTCATCTAAATATTGGCGCAGCACTATAGGTTCCTTCTTAGTTTGCAACCAATATAGTTCAAGCCATAATTCTTCCTCTTTTCTAATTTGGAGCTCATATGGCTTTTGAGGCCCTAGGACCAAAACAAAAATTAAAAGTTGACAAAAAAATAATAATAATAACTAATTAGGATTATTGGGTAATAATAATATATATGTAATAGAAAATTAAAAATTGACAAATATGCCCACAAATGACAAAAGTCACAAAACTATTGAATTTTAAATATTTGGATAAATTTTCAAAAAAATTTATTTTTTTATTTTTATATATTTTTTCATCAGTTTGATTTGATTTTAAACCGCAATTAAAATTCTCAAGCCTAACTGGTTTGGTTTGGTTTGGTTCAAAATCATTTTGTTGATATGGATTCACGTGGCACCAAACCTACGATTTCTAAAATGCGATTTCGATTCGGTTTGACGATTTTTGCTTACAGCCCTAATGGCACCTCAACGTGAACAGTTTTATACGACAGAGCATTAGGTAAAATGTAACAGAAATTGTAGGAACTTGTAGGGCTGGGCAAATCTCCCGAACCGAACCGACCGAACCGAACCCGAACCGAACCGATCCGAACCGAACCGAATGGAACCGAACCCGAACGGTTCCATAATTATATTTGGACCCGAGGGTTCCATTTACTAGATACCCGAAAAGTTTGGTTCGGTTCGGTTCTCTTTAGAACCGAACCGAACCGACCGAACCGAACCCGAACGGTTCCATAATTATATTTGGACCCGAGGGTTCCATTTACTAGATACCCGAAAAGTTTGGTTCGGTTCGGTTCTCTTTAGAACCGAACCGAACCGACCGAACCGAACCCGAACGGTTCCATAATTATATTTGGACCCGAGGGTTCCATTTACTAGATACCCGAAAAGTTTGGTTCGGTTCGGTTCTCTTTAGAACCGAACCGAACCGACCGAACCGAACCCGAACGGTTCCATAATTATATTTGGACCCGAGGGTTCCATTTACTAGATACCCGAAAAGTTTGGTTCGGTTCGGTTCTCTTTAGAACCGAACCGAACCGACCGAACCGAACCCGAACGGTTCCATAATTATATTTGGACCCGAGGGTTCCATTTACTAGATACCCGAAAAGTTTGGTTCGGTTCGGTTCTCTTTAGAACCGAACCGAACCGACCGAACCGAACCCGAACCGAACCGATCCGAACCGAACCGAATGGAACCGAACCCGAACGGTTCCATAATTATATTTGGACCCGAGGGTTCCATTTACTAGATACCCGAAAAGTTTGGTTCGGTTCGGTTCTAAAGAGAACCGAACCGAACCGACCCGCGCCCACCCCTAGGAACTTGCAAAGTGAAGAAAAAAGGCCTCTCAAAGTTCAAAGATGATACACAAATAGTTTGCCCAAAATCCTGATGCTTTAGCAAATCATAAAAGGCTGAACATCTCTCTGTTTGTTCATACAATTTATCTTCTTTAAAGATATATGTAGCAAAGTGATTAGTAATTTCCGCTCTTCCACATAATCGTCTATTTATAAGACATATGTTAAAATATTATAGATTATTAATAAATATATTCCATGTTCAAACAAGTTACTTTTCATGAGGCGGTTCAAGAAAACATATTTTTTTTATATCTAAACTGAATTTTATCGTGTCTTAATATATAAATTTTTCTTGACAGCATGGACAGGATCCTAGAGCGATATGAAAGAAATTCATTTGCGGAGAAGCAATTGGTTTTAAACGATCCTGTGTCACCTGTAAGTCTTCAATTTATGAATGATAATTAATATTGACAATGAAGTTTTAAATAGTACCGTTTCTGGCCTTGCCTAGACAGATAATATACTAATGGTATGTTAGCATGGTGGACGCAATTCTCTACAATATTAAGAAAGGAAAAAAGAAGATAAAATCTTGCATAATATTATAGTATTGAGTTGGATCTATTACTTTATACTAAATATTCTAAAATGTTTCAAATATATGCAGGCAAACTGGACCCTAGAATATAACAAACTCAAGGCTAGAATTGAGTTACTGCAGAGAGAGCAAAGGTAAATGCACAAGTCATTTTAGGAGATGATGAAATTTAAGGATCTATGTCTTTTTTCCATGTTATTATTTCAATATTTACTTGCATTTAAAGGCATTATATGGGAGAAGAACTGCACTCTCTAAGCCAGAGAGATCTTCAGAATTTGGAGCAACAACTTGCAATTGCTCTTAAGAATATTCGATCTCGAAAAGTAAGATATATTTGCATATAATAATTTAGTCTTCAAGTTTATAGTACTGATTTTACTACAATTTATTTCCTTATTAGTGTTCTAATTAAATTGTATATTTTATATTCACAGAATCAACTATTGTATGAATCGATATCTGAACTGCAGCGAAAGGTTCATCCTCTTTAGCACCTTAATTGTATTCAAAAGTTTACTTTTTTAATATTGTCTAGTTGTATCCATCCTATATGTGGAGAGTTTAAAGAGTAACAATACTAATAAAACAAGCAACTAAATGTTCTATAATATCAATATTTCCTAACAGTAGGAAAGATTATGGCAATTGTGAACCAACATACTGGTCTACACACTGAACAAATCCGTTTCCCATGATTTATTTTCTGATCCGTAAAAAGGAAGGAAACCCTTGAGTTGAAGCTTGGCTTTGATTATTATATCTGAGGGAGACAAACCAACCTTATTTCCAGAATTGCAAACTAAACTTGTGCTCAACTTATTTAGCTTTCTATCAATAGCATGATGGTCATGGACGCAATAAAATCTCTCAACCAAAACTAGCTAGGAAGAAATCAGAATAGCCGTTTTTACATTGTTATTCTATACGTGTGAGCTTAGTATTTTATGAATATGTAATACCTCAGAAGGCTTAATTTTTTACTAATGTAAATATTTGTTTTCATGTCAAAATTTTCCCGCTTCAAACTCTTAAATTTTGTTCTGGACTTTGACAGGAGAAGGCATTACAAGAACAGAACTATATGCTAGCAAAACAGGTCTCATTTCTTTTGCTGAATGTGGAGAATTAGTTAAATTATTGACATGCTTTTATATAACTGTAGAGGGTTGCGAATAGTTACATTATACAATTTCTGATGATGTTAAGAGTATTTTGTGATCTGGGAATAGATAAAAGAAAAGGAGAAGGAAATGGTACAGCAACCACATTGGGACCAGCAAAATCATGGCAATAATATGCCTACATTCTTAATGGCATCTCAACTTCCTTGCCTTAACATCAAGTAAGTGGTAACTATTCGAATAAATAAAAACTGAATTGCTTCTTCACTGACTTGATAATCAGATGCGTACCTCTTTTTCTCTGAGGGTCAATAAATAATGATTTATACATTCACCAGAATTAGCTTATTGATTCACCAAACAGTATAAACATGTGGCGGAGTTCGTGTATAGTCAGTAGAAAATTAGTAATTGGTAGTATGTGATTTGCAGTGGCGCTTACGAAGGAGTAGCAACAGAAGATGGAAGGATTAATGGTCTTGATCTCAACATGGATTCACTCTACTCGTGTCATCTTGGATGCTTTCCTGCATGAGAACATGTATATATATGAACACTGGTTCTGTAATTTTAATAATTTTGTTTCTATATGTTGATATATAGACACGATAAAATTGGTACAGAAAATAATGACAAGATATTCTCCAATTTTATTGTATTCAACTATTTAATCTTAATAACTTCCAATCCTATGTACATGAATATATGGAAATGTATATTCAGGGCGTGTAATATCTTTATGGCTTGGTCTCCCGGAGCATAGTCTAGTAGTGCAAAGGATAGGAGTGAGGTTATCTTACGTCTTGCTGACAGCTGCAGTGTAGGGGTTCGATTTCTGAAACATGAAATTGAACTCCTTGTAGGCTCAGTGTACAGGCGACTTTTGTTCCCTAACCTACTGGGACACATCTCAAGATTTACCTCTCTTACAAAGCTCTAGGAGCTAGGCGGTGAGAACTCTCAAGATTGGGGTTCAACCTTTTTTTAATATATTTGTGGTTTGAATCCAACTGTAGAAGGGGGATATGTTTAGAAAATATGTGATATATATGGTAAATCTATGACTTATTTGCTTTCATGAACTTTTGTACCGGTGCATTTATAAGTGATTTAGAAGTCATATTTAAGTAGAAGTCAAGTTCATTTTGTTGAAAGATTAATACTGCACAATTTTTATAAGTAAATAAAAAATAAAATTTGAGATTGATGTATCATATCATTTGAAAATTGAATCAAATAGGAAAGAACAAATTTATTCATTTTATGTGTTGATGGAAACAAGATATGGATACAATGAAAGGATAATTCTTACCGCAGTCTCAAATCTTTAAAAATGTACAGGTTTTATCCGAAGATATGATTGGTAGTAGCATTGCTTCCAAACCTTTCAACTGGTGCGACAAAAGGACTTCTAAATGATTTTTGCCCAAAAGCTAGCTTTTGACTATATTTTAACCAATTTAAAAGAAAGCAAATGATCTTTTGACATTTTAAACATTTCAAAAATGTGCAAACTGAGGTGCCAAACTTTTAATAAATATGCGTCAAAAGGACATTTAACAATTTTCATCAAAAAATCTATTAGTTGACAAAAATATTCATCTTTCTTGATCCACACAAACACTGAACACACAATCCCGACACTATCCGCTAACCCACCCAACCTTACCCATTCGTAGGTGAGAAACTTTTACCACCGTCGTTATTGTTGATTTTGAAGAACATTTATTTCTGTTTATTTACTTTTCTTAGTTCTTTAAAGGTTCTTGTTAAAAGGAATTGTAACTGGTGAGGATGGGGAAAATGGCGAGTTGGCGACAGAGGAGGAAGAAATGATGCCACGACAGTGGCGATATTGCTGTAGTCGCAGTTTAGAAGGCTGTAGCTATTTTAAGGCTCACCGGTCATGACAGAGGAGGTTAGATAGATGGATTCTCTTCAAATCAACAGTAACTATTGTGGCGAAAGCTCCCCCTACAAATAGGTTGGATTAGATAGGTTTGGGTTAGGCTTTGGGGTTGGATGATTGTGTAGACCGAGGAAGATGAATATTTTTGTCAACTGAATTTTTGGATGAAAATCGTTAGAGCTCCTTCTAGCTTACATTTTTAAATGTTTGGGACCTCCAATATATATTTTTGGAAGGTTTGGACTTCTAATGTAAAACTATCCTTTTTAATTAATAAACGGTTGAAAGACTATTTTGCCATTTTTATATTAAGTCAAATTATGGTCAAATGTTGATTTTTGATCAACTAATAGATTTTTGGAATGAATCCATCCAAAGGTCATTTTGCCGCACTAATTTGGAAGATTTAAGACCACCAGTACAAATAAATATTCGAGTAAAATCTGCACTTTTTAAAAGTGTGGGATTGTCGCTGCAATTATTCCATTTGAAAAGCTCTAGATACCACTTGACAGTTTTGGGATACTGCTAGAATGTTCTAGATTATAGATTTGTTTGACCTTATGTGTGGAATTACTCTATTAAAAGCAACAAGTCATTTTTTAATAGTTTCTAGATGATTAAGCATACAAGTCAATTTTTTTTATATTTAAATACTACAAATTGTAATACAAAAGTAGTAATAAACACATTAATTGTTGATGAAGAAATCTAATAGGGTAAAAACTCTGGGAATAAACCAGTTATCTCCACTATAAACAATGAATCTTACAGTTAGATGCTGCCTAGCCAACTCTACTAGATTTCTCAATCTACTTCCTGTAATCTCCAAGACCAGCTGACTCTACTAGCTTCTTGATATTCTACAATTGTCTCTTCCAAGTCGATAACCAGGAATCATCAATTCTTGTTCTTCTTCCTATGCTTGTAGTCCAACCTTCCTCAATCTTCAGCAGCCTCTAAAGTTTTAATTGAAAAAGTAAATTCCTCTGAAGTTTTAATTGAAAAAGTAAATTCCTTGTTGTACAAAGAAAGTGGGTGTTTTGGATTCCGGAATTTTGATACTTTTCCCAAATCTGTGGTTGTATGATCTCAAGAAAAAATGGACTGAATCAATGTTTGAATTTGTTCTTGGATTTTCATGAGATGATATGAATGTATTATCAATGAGAGGCACAATGAACAACTACATAAAATTCGTGTTAGGGCTTAAGTATTTATAGTTAAAAGTGTTTAGGTAGTTTGGACCGTGTAAAACTCTTCAAAAATGTGAATTAGGATTTTTTCGCGCAGCACAATCACTCGAGCTAGGAGCTAACGACAGCTGAGCAGTCATCAGTATTTTCATCATAATTTTCTCTCTTGATATCTGATTGAGGTGATTCAAAATACGTTGGAAAGTTAACTCAAAAGGGTTACAATTCTTCTAGAGGTGGCGTTGTGCAAATTTCAATGTTTTCTATGTGAAAAATGCATCGTAAGTTACAACTGAAAATTTGGAATATAACTTGTGCGGCTCTTTGACACTCTTTAGACTTTTAATTGCATTTTCTTGATCATATGTGGTCTTTTTGGACATCTTAACCTCCTTTAAGGACTATAATACCAACTCCAAAAGTTTTCTTGACTTTTACATCTATCCATTTGTCTAAAGAATTGCCAATACACTAGAGACCAACAATTTTCCCCTTTGGCATTCTATAACAAAACTATACGATAAAGTCAAGGTAGCAAAAGCAAAAATCTAATCTACTCAAGCTTCATTCTTTGCATTCCTTGTTATACTTCTTTCCTAGAATCAAAAGCTCAAATATTCAGTATAAAAGCATGTGATATAGGAAATATAACAATTCAAGCACTTAATCATAACCTAACATGCTAGAATGAGAAGTAATACTAATGTCAATCAAAATACTAACCCAAACATTAATATTACAAAATATCAAAAACTCAAACAGCTATGCATTATGATATAGAATGCAATGGAAACAATCAATCTTCCCTTTAATGCAAACTCTAACCAATCAGTCATTTTGCTCTCCTAACACACAGTTCTCACTCATATATATGATACAGTCTTTCCCCCTATCGAAATAATCACTCCCTCATTTTTGTCACAAATGTCGAAGGGATGAGAATTTGAACATCGATATACAATAACTCAAAATATGCAGTTGATTGTATGTACAAGCATAATCAAAGATCAATAAACATTTTCACATACTCAGTTCAAGTTAACATGGAGTAAATTATATAAGTAACCATGTGTGTAAAGTGTTACTAATCATTTGTAAGCAAAACTTCAAATCTTAATTTTGTGAGAAGGGACATAATTTACTGCCAATAAGTTTATTTCTCTACTTATAAAAGTCAAATAATTTAAAGCACATTAGAACCTTTAAATAAATGTTCATTTCTCCTAATTTTGAGCATGCATAAATTTTTCATATCTTTCAATATTTTTTAAGCTCATTATATTTTCTACATCTTAAGAACGGGTTCTTCTCCATTAAATGATTAAGATGACCCCTGTAGCGAGCTTTATGCTGTTTAATCCAAGTCAGTTGACCATAGGCACCAAATTTTGAGACACCCTACAGGTTTAATTGTTCGAGTCAAATAGGCTCCGAAAAAGAACATAAGATATCGAGCTGTTTATATAACCAGGGAATATCTTAGATCTAAAAAAATTGGTCAATGCATATTCAAAGTTACCTTACTAACATGTGACTGTCGTCCCAAATCTCACACATGTGATTGAGTCCCACTAATAATATCATGTGTGTACAGTGTAGATGGTACATGAAGACGCCTATATTAAGTACTATATAATAACCTAAGCAAGCAATGATAACTATGCTACAACTCATCAATTATACCCATACTTGATCACAACAAACATATTTAAGTATATTATGCCCTCGTTTGGTAGAAAATTTTCACTCAAAAAATCAATTTTTTTTTATCGTTATTTCATTATTCTAGCTATCTTTTTTTACTTTTTCACTCACAAATGAGACCCACTTTTCTCTCTAACAGTCCAAAAATCAATTTTCATAATCACTACTGAACAGATCTTATATATCATATTGCAAGAACAAATTCCCTTCCATTTTCGTTTTGCATTTTTCAAATTTTTTTCACATGTTTTGTTGTTTTTATTTTTAAATATGAATGTTCCAAGCTTAAAAAAAAAAAAAAAAATCACACATAGAAAATACGAATACACAAATATGATGAATGCATAAATCAATGACTCAACCGATTAAGCATAAGCATGCATAAGAAATATTTAATCAGTTAGGTATGCAAACGCTCTTACATTTAAGAGCACAGAGATCTATTTCAAGCTATTGCAAATCACTTTTCTTTACCATACTTGCTTAATGATAGGAATATATTCACTCATTCGTGTCATTGGCTTGGTTAATTGACTTACTAGACTAGTAAAGAAGTTAATCTGACCATCATAATCTTGATTCTTATTTTTATTAAAGTTTTGGTTTCTATTTATGTTCAGGAATTGACAGCACCTAGGCTTATGTGTTCTAACTCCTCACAATGAAAACATGTAGGGATAAACTTAGGACGAAAGTTATGAGATTGCTGATTTCTACTCCTAGGTTGACCAATCCTGGAGGTCTTTCAAATCCCTTATTCTTAGGTTGGGGGTTAGGAACATGTTTAGGTTGATCAGTAGCAAAGACAAATGTGGTCTTAGACGTACTGACAATACTATGATCTTTCTCCTTCTATCCTGGACCTTCCTTATTACCAGTATACTTGCCATTTCTAGGATGTTATCTAGTTTTATAGAACCACTAGA